AGAGAATATACCCAGTCTAAACAAATAATAAAAAGATACTATTCATTCAAAGCATTATAAGTTTAGGAAGTGTTCATAAATATTGGTATTCATAAATGTTCAACATAAGCGGTACTGATTATCAAAAAATAATACGTAGACAATTTTTTTCCTCATAATTTTATACACAGCAAGGGGATTAATTAGATCATTTAACTATTTCTGTCAACCAACAAATAATTATGTCGTTGTTATAGATAAACTGTTTTGAAAACCTTAAAGGCTGCAACAATATTCAAAAAAATATGATGCATCAGTGTTTTATATTTAAGTGAGATATGTGATATGGAAATAATTAGCTCAAAGATGATCTAGATCTAATGTAAGTTCTAATGTTATAATTTTGGAAAAAAATACTAGTATATAACGTTATTTGTAATGACCCGGCTGTAGTTATGCAAATACTAACAGAATGAGTTATTAAACGCAAATATTCTTCAATAGGACTTATACTATACCCCACTAACTTACAATTCAGACATCAATTAGTGAAAAAACAAAAGGTATTCATAGGTTTATTCCCTGCTCCAACCGACGATAATATATAGGAAAATAACGGGGCATTTATACATCTCCAGTATTATTGGTCTCGAAATCCAAAGCGATGATAACAAAAAAATTTTCTTCATAGTTGATACAGATACCGATTTCGCTAAATAATGCATTACTCAACATTGATAAATGAGGACAACCAGATAAAATAATCAGATAAATATGTTAATTCAATCATCACTAAATTTTAATAAAAACAAATATTTAAACCCTGAAAAGTAGCTTTTATACAACTTACACCATTATTAAAAGAAATATATAAAAATCACTAACTTAATTAATGCTCTAGTTTTTGATGATAGTCGTATCTCTTCTATGAATTTAACAATTTGGAAACCTTCCAAAACTCTAAATACTAGCTGTAAGTTATACTCAATGTATCATACGTACTAACATGATCTTATTTTTTTAAACAATGGGATTAGAAACTTGTAACTAATTAACTGGAATCATAGTATATAAATCATCAAGAGAAATAAATTCGAAATTTAAGAATATGATTTGACAGTCACCTTGAAGCAAATACAATCAAAGGACAATCTTTATAAGTTTAGTAAGTTGAAAGTAAAAACTAATTTTTATATTCCTTTCCTGCTAACATTTATCTTAAATACTAGGGTGCAATATGAAGCATACTTGTTGTATATAAAGGGAATACTATTTTAAGTTAGTGATTGCATATTTCATCTGATTATAAATCCACTCAGAACGAAATAAATATTCATTAGTTCAAACAAATATTTCAATCACTATTTTAAAAAAGAAACCCATCCCGTAAACTTAGTGGACACATTTATTAGGAAAAGATTGAATTAGATTAGATTGCTTCGAATGATGTAAATGAAAAATGACATTCTTAAGATAGTTCCTTTTCCCAAAAAACAAGCACTATACCCAATAAAAACTATATAAAAATAAAATTCCAAATATAATAACAACCAAATTAGATATAAGAATATGGTTTTCATTTAAAGAAAAGCAAAATAAAAAAACAAAGAACTATTTTTTGAAGGTCGCAAATTTCGTAGCTACATTAAATACCATTCGAAAAACTGTAATCAGCGCTCTAACTTGAAAAGTTACACAAAATCTAAGCATCGAAAATATGCTATAATCTTCCATATACCAATGTCGTAATAGAGTATTCAATAGCTAAGTAAATGGATTTGAAAAATTCCTGAAGAATACATTGACAATATTCTAAGATTAAATTTAAGTCCTGTGAATCGTTCATGAAAATTTTAAGCTTCGTTCTGGCTAGATCAGTGAAAGAGAAATATTTAGGAAAACGTAATTCCAAACAGTTATCAGTGGTAACTGAATCCCGGGAATTGTTAGGCTTTTTCTTTAAATCGATTTTTATCAAGGATATAAGAATACAGTTTTTATCAGCTTTCAAATATTACACTGAAGAACTAACAGAATGATGATATGTCCTTTACTAACCACCATATGACCACTGAAGTTGACTTATTGATGTAAAAGGTTTGATACTACTAATGTTATTAAGTAGCATTATTGTTGTCAGTAAGAGCTTTAAATCATAGACATTCTAGCATAAACAGATTTCTGGATGTCTTGGAAAATAATTTGACTGAATACCTAGAGTTATCAGCCTTTATATTTCTCTTCTATCACGTATCGGGGAAGTAAATATGTTTCTACTACCACTTCACTGAAATGAGTGTTTAAAACTAGAGATACGATCAAATGAATTATGATGTAAACAAGAATTATTTGGTTCACAAATTTAGTTACATATTCCTAGTTTTCTTATAATGTACAATGGTTTACCCTTAATGTGAAAAATATTCATACATACTTTTGTAGCCTCTTTAATTATTTCTGCATATGTTTATAGATCATGACTAGATTCATATATTTAATAGCCCCTAATAAGTAGATACACTCAGAAAAGTACTTCCACTAACATATTTCTTGGCTTCATTTTAAGGGTCTAAAGGATAGGTATTCTTGAATAAATGTTAAACTTACCGCATTTTATTTATGTTTTAATAATTATGTAGTGCGCTCATGCACCAAAATCCGAATTACAACGACCCTATATCATAATTAATATTGTCAGTATCGTCCCTGCCATCTATTACAGTTATTCTATGGCGATGTCTTCATTATCAGTAAAATACTACCCAAAAAGTGAACTTCCAATAAGAAAAATATACCAGGAACATAGAAATGGTACCCGGTAGTACCTCATGCCTTGAAATGATGGTCGGGCTCGCATATCATGACCACCCATTAGAAGTATATTGGCTAGAATACTCATTCCTTTAGGTACTATGTGATATTTGTACGAACTAATTATTCTTTAGAACTTGATTCCCCGCTTATTACGAATTCCAAATACAATACGTTCGTTTGTGTTTATCTAGTCCCATCCGACCTGAATTACGTTACTTTTAGAACTCCTAGTTAGTACATTGATTCGAATACTTCTAATTATCATAATGGCGTCGCGATTGAGCCTTTGATTGGGCAGTTGGATATATATTCAAATTTTGAGGTTTTCGAAGATTACATGGAGAAATTCGAAATCTGGAGTGTGACCAGGAAAGATGTTAAGGAAGATAAAATTGTGGCTCATTTCTTTACATTCATCATAAAGGATGCCTACAGCCTACTAAAAACTTTGGCATTCCCAGACAAGCCTATTTCACTTCCCTATGAAACTCTCGAGGAACTACTATTAAATCATGTAAAGTATACTAACTTTGGATGCTGTGAAAGAGCGAAATTCCATAAAATGATTCGTCAGAATAACCAAAAGGTTAGAGGATTTATCCTTGAATTGCAGAAACAAGCTGCAAAGTGTAATTCTGATCAACTTCATGTGCAACTGTGGTCGATTGATTGCACGGATTAATATGCAAATGCCGAAGTGTCCTTTACAATGTGCTATAACTGCGTGTATTAACTATGATACAGTGCATGAAATTAACTTACAGGATATCAGGAATTCTAATACAAAACATAGTTACCTTGTAGAGTCTCGTACTATGTCAAGACCATATAGCTTCTTCTCAAGCTACATCTTGACCTTGTCACTTATTTGCTTATTAACCTTGACTGTCTTTTATCCTTATATACAACCTATCTTTTATATACTACCACCACTAAATTAACTATGTCTATGAATCCGGCGTTCATCTTGCTGTGCTAACGAGATATGGCAAGTTCGACCAATGCATATGTGTGCCTGGTCCTACGTTGTAGCTGACTGACTGTCTTTTATCTGATTGTATGCATGTTAATTGCTTATTATATTCATTACATGTCTATAACTTAGTTTTGTTTGACCATAAGTATCGAGTCACGGTTGGTTAAATCGAAATCGCTCACATGTCTTCTCCGATCCGTTTCGCTTCGTTTTGTGGTCTACTTATATCCATATAAGTAGTATATGGTATGGGTCAGACGTAGAATGTATTTTGGCAGAAGACCGATGAGGAAAGAACTGAAATGAAGCGCAATCGTCTGGAAAATGCATGAGCAATGGAATAAGAGAAGAAACAGTGAAGATTGAAACAATTGGTTGTTAATTTGCAAATTGACTGTTCATTGTTTGGTTATCGGAATTTACTGAGATAGTCTGTAACTTTTGCTTAAATACATTCGATTGTCCCCAACCAGTGTTCTGTTCATTACAGTTTCTCTGATCGTCTATATAGATCAACGGTTGTATGAAATATACGAATTCAAACTCTATTCAAGTCTTGAACTTATTTAATTCGGTTATTCACTAACAATCATCATAGTTCTAGATATTAGTGATCTAAATACACACAACCGACATGTTGATCAAATACAATTTCAGGAACCTGATGAGTCTACTCTGATTCTAGTTGTTAATTCCAACACTAATGAGTACATTCTAGACTATAAGGAGTTTACACCGGACAGACACACGATGGACCTAAGAGGAGGTACAACCGATTACAGAAATTCAGATTCCAATTTAAACCGTGGTACTCGTACGAGTTAAGTATTCTTTAGAACTCGATTCCCCGCTTATTACGAATTCCAAATACAATACGTTCGTTTGTGTTCAACTAGTTCTACCCGGCTTAAATCATGCTACTTTTAGAATTCCTAGTTACTGCATTAATCCGAATACTTCTAGTCATTATATTATACCATATCAGCCAGATTAGTTGGAGGATAATTAGAACAAAAGCTGTGAACTCGTTGTCTGAGGACGAATTACGTTAGCTAAACCAACCCCTTACCATACAATTAGTCAGTCACACAACAATCTTACTATAACTACTCATTTATGGTGCAATATTAAAAAACACAGCAGTGGTAGCTTACGAAATTCAAGCGCGTAAAAGGTAACTAAAATTTGAGACAGCAATAAATCCAATAAGAACTCTTTGAGTTTCAGTGGATATAACAGTACTTGTATGTCCCAAATCATTAGCAAGTACATAGACATTTGTTTATTAGAACAAGTCTTAAAATAATCGATGGTGTTGATCCGAAGAAAAACAAAAGATTACGAAATACATTGCACTTTTGAAAATTAATATTACTTTATACAAGCACATGACACAAAAGTTATTTGTTGCACCAAGTTTGAATACAAACAATAGAAATGGTTTACAAGAAGGTGAAGAAACAGTATAAACAATTACAGACTAATCAATAGCACTCTGGACTAAACATCAAATACAGAACACCTCACATATGAGATTTAGTTCATGCATCATCATACAAGTCACGAGTGCATATGAAAAACTGTTGACAACCTTATTGCTTAATGATGCGTTCATTAACAAACTCTAATATTGTATCGCTATCCCAAGTGTCGATAGGAATCTCTTCTTGCACTTGTCGTTTCTCATTGAGCATGCGGATTGTAGGTCTATGACCTCTCTCGTATACCACTTTCAGATTAGTCATACTCTTCCGATCCTTGCTGTCAATGAATGCTAAAAAATGGATTTCCCAAAACAAACGATAGGTTTACTTGTGGTTTGGACGTTAGGATGATTTATCCCTAATTAATTTGGAGTTAATTATAGCTAAAAAGATCACTAAATGGTTATAATTGCAAAGATGGTTAGATTCCCTCAAACAACCCAATAAGCGGTTAGTTTTACCAAAATAACTTCATGGTTTGAGAAAAACGTTTGTTGTAGTAGATCTGAGTCTTACAGTATTGCCATTTTTCGTCTTAAACTTTTAGGACGCAGAACATAACGCTTCATACACAATGAAGAGATTCACGACCAAAGTGAGCTGAACACATAGATGTATTCAAGTTAGGTTAGTATTTACAAAACGAGAGAAGTAACGCAAGATTGACAAATAAAATAGCTTGAGAAACGAAATATAGCAGAGAAACCCCACATCCTACCTAATCATGATTTGGGACAAGCCTTTGTGTTATTTGTACGATTAAGACACGATATATACACAAAAGACTCACATTTTGAATGTGATAAAATATCCATACCAAATGGAGATATTTCCTAAAGACGTAGAAACCATGTAGATACTTATGTCGTGCAGCGTACCTCCATGAAAGGCTGTATCAAAGACGGTTACGGCTAATCAGATAAGCGAATATTTTTACATAATCAGAACCTTAATACTATTCTCACTGAATGAATCTCCTCTCGACCATAATTTTCTTTGCTTTAGGTGAATTTGAGATATTCGATTAAAATAGGCACAGTGCAGTGTAGGTTTGATTTTAGAAAACATATATGCTTACGATAATAATTCAGACATAGTACAGACTTGTGAATATCGAAAATTTGGACCAACTAACAACTACCATATACTCCATGGTGAGTAATTAGCGGACTTTAACATCACCGAGTCTTAACGATTCCTATCTCCTGTGAATAAAAACTTACCAAGTACTTGAGGATAGCGTTCTAAAGATCAGGAGCACGTTACTAGTTCTGCGAAAGCATATTTCTGGGGAAATAAATTAGGAAACCTACATACCTTAGAAATTCCAGATACATCTTCATCTTCACAACACTGAAAACAAGATGTTTCAATCTTTTCTAATTTGAACTTCTTTAACTCTGAACATGAAGAGCATTTGAGTAACGAAGTGAATCCCGCAACAGCACAAGATTTTGTGTCGTTAGCAGAAACACCAATCTGCGATTAAATTAGATTTTAGTGTATACAATAGTTAATTATTCTTACGAATAGTGTGAAAAAATAAACTAAGACATCCGCGAACAGCATTACAACATGAGCGGTACCACGTACTTCACTTCAAAGTCACCAAGTAGTGAAGACAAACACATTTGCTGTTTACTTGTTCTAATATGGTCACCCATTTAGAAGACGATCAAAGCTCTTATTCTTGCAGTTACTCAATTCTCAACACCACGACAATCACTGGGTCTAGCAAACACTTTCGTAATACAATATTCTCAAATGAAACCAAACTATAGAGAAATTGTAAATTGTTGATTCTCTGAGATTCATCTTCGGGTTGTAGACAAGAAGCCCCAGATGTAAATGGTTGTAACCCTTATTATGAACCACCAGGAACCTCGAAGAATAGAACACTTGTTGTTAATGAGACGCCTCAGGTGGATTGGGATGTTTACCCTCAAATTGAAGTGCATGCTCATTGGGATTTTTTACTGCACACGATCTTATGTGCTACTGAGCATTCAGTTCCTAAAATGGTCCCAAAAAGCTACAAGCAACCTGCAATCATCAAGAACCGCACTCGTCGTTTGCTAAGCCGCAAAAGGCACTGTTGGGCTGAATATAAACGAACTGATAACAACGGCACGTACAGGCAATACAAACATATAAGGAACATATGCACAAAGACAATAAGCGAAGACGGGCTTCAGTTCCAGACCAAGCTTATCGATAGATTCGTCTTCAATCCGAAAAGCTTGTTCAGTTATGCAGCTTCTCTTCGACAAGGCAAAACTGGAGTTTCCCAACTGCTTGGTCCTAATGGCCCGACCAACAACGACAGTGATGCCGCTAACCTTTTGGCTGAACATTACTCCCGCACATTCCAGCTGACCCACATCAACCATACTGACGAAAGCTTCACCTGCACCTGTACAGGACTTTCCGAAGTGGACCTGAGTGCTGACCTGGTGCTCCGTAAACTGCAGAACCTAAGAAAAGACACTTCTCCTGGTCCGGACATGGTTCATTCCGCTGTATTGAGGGAAGCAGCTTCAATCCTGGCGATACCACTTAGCGTGATGTTTGAACACTCGCTAAGCAGAGGCAAACTACCGGAAATATGGAAGCTGGCCCACATCACACCAATTTTCAGAGGAGGTCGACGCAGTGAACCCTCAAGCTACCGACCAGTGGCCCTTCTCTCCATACCTTTAAAAATTATGGAATCCCTAGTATTCGACGGCATACTAGAATACTTATCATCCTCAAAGTTCTTCTCGCCTCAACAGCATGGTTTCAGAAAAGGTCATTCTTGTATGACCAACCTGCTGACTGTGGTGGATAGATGGACAACCATCCTTGATCGCAAGGGGAAGGTTGACGTCATTTACCTGGACTTCTCAAAAGCTTTTGATAGGGTCAACCATGCATGTCTTATCAAGAAGCTTGGACGATTGGGTATAAAACCCCGTTTAATTGATTGGCTCTCTTCATATTTAGGAAACCGACACTTTAAGGTCAGGGTTAACTTCACTCTCTCTCAGGCTATGGAATGTCCTAGTGGGGTCCCCCAGGGTTCAATACTAGGACCTCTTCTCTTCTTGATTTATATTAACGATCTTCCTCAACAAGTTTCATCTGACTTATTGTTTTTTGCTGATGATGTGAAACTTTGGAGAGAGATACGTAATCATAACGATATACTAGTTCTTCAGGAGGATCTGACCCGACTTCAAAGTTGGGCAGACGACAACGGACTTACCTTCAACACTTCAAAGTACAAAGTAGTCCATCTGAGACATGTTGCAGACTATAGTTATAACTTAGGTTACTCCCCTCTAGAAGTTTCCCAAGTTGAAAAAGATTTCGGAGTGTTGGTACCCTTTACCTGAAATCGTATGCAAACTGTGACAAAAACGCCTCTCAAGCAAACCTTGCACTGGTAACATTGAAGCGCATTTTTGGCCAGTTTGACGGTAGAACCTTCCATATAATCTTCAACAGTTTTATTCGTCCTCATTTAGAGTACGGAAACATAGTATTTCCTCCCTCCCTCCAAAAGGATAAGGACACTCTGGAACGTATACAACGTTGAGCCACGAAATCAGTTCGGGGACTCAAATTCAAACCTTATGAAGAGCGCCTCAAATCACTTAACCTTTACCCATTAGAGTACAGGCGTCTTATAGGTGATCTTCTTATGACTTATAGTATCCTTAATACTTCTGGTCATCCCCTTAAACATCTTAAGCTTAGTCATAACACTAACCTGAGAGGTAACACCCAGAAATTGGAGACCCTATATAGCAGAACAGACTGTAGACACAACTTCTACTCCGTTAGAGTTGTCAAGTGCTGGAATTCGCTGACGACTGAGCTAGTCCAAGCGACCTCCCAGGAGTCCTTTCAGGAAGAAACTTGACTTATTCTTAGGGACTAAGGATAACATATTATGATTTATCAAATTGTTTTTCCCTCTATTATCGTTAATATACCTACGTTCATGCCTGGAGGTATTGGTGATCCACTGCGATTAGACACGGAGGCCCGTTAAGCGAAAGCTTCTTCTATTCCGTCCTCAACCATTTGAACCATTTGAACTGGTGACCAGAAGCAAAATCCCTCATGACCGTTGGATCTGCAAAAAGATAACTCACTAAGATGAATAACTTTGTAGATGCTCGGTATGAATGTTGGCACTTTCAGTTTCCCATACGCTGCTATATGAGAAGTCCAGATCATCCGTCTTGGCTATATCTCTAAACACCACATTTGAGTAGCTTTTCCTCATATAAACAGTCAACTTAGAAATTTAATACTCACCTGACTCCGTGTCCGTTCAGTACACTATTCGTCCTGGTCGTTATCCACTTCTCCATCGTTTACCACCTGATATCTTACTGGAAGTCACCTTATACCAGTTGTATATGAAGCTACGGTGTCAGTAAAACTAGTTTGCTTAAACCGTCAAAAATTCAAGTAATTGCATTCGTTCATGCATTTTTGTGGGTCACGTTCGAGTTAAATTAGTTCGTTGTCGTCTGCTGCCCCACTCAAGGTGTTTTACTGATAGTATTACAACTAACCCTAGACTCTATTCAAGTCCCTACCTAGTTGACTAACAGCTCACAACATGTCTCATGTATCTATATTCCTTCCTGTAAGTTGTGGGATCTGTCAATGTAAGACTCTTTGGTTGCCGTTAGCTTATCTATAGATTACTATTGGATTTTGAGTAACACTGACTAAAGAGACGCATAATTCTGTTGTTTTTTGACATTTGACACAGAGCGACATAAAGAAGAAATTCCGCTTCACTTCCCCCGGACAGGCGAAAAAGAAGGCATTTTGGCGCATTTCCGCATTATTTCCCCTTTGTTTTCCAATGCGTTTTTCCTTTTATTTCCCCTTTATTGGTTGTTTGGGACGATAGGGATTTAGGATTGAAAATGATTGTGCTTTTCTAATACGATAAGTTGTTTTCGGAACTGACAACAGTAATTATAATCAACACATCAAATATCGACATCAAGGACAGGAAGTAGACGGAATTGCAGATAACTTGATAAATGTGGTAGAACAAGCAACTTAGACGAAATTGGTAAAAAAGTTGTTACTATTGTAGCAGGACAAGATCTTCGAACACGTAGCGATTTAGCAAACTAAAGAACACGACAACCAATCAGAGGGAAAAGGCCATGAGGAAAATGTAATTGGTAGAAAGTGTGCGAGCGGTCATCGTTACAGCAGAGATTCTAGCCATTCTGGTAAAAACTGACTATCCTTGCGATTGCCTTAGCAGTTGTGTACACCATCTAAACGGCTTGTATGGTCAAACCGCGCTTTGAGCACAGAATGATATCACCTCCACCAAGGTTTGGGGTTGTCTCTGTATCTATCGCCCCTACAAGATTAAAAACCAAATGACTGAAATTCACTGTCGTATACTTCTGACGTATACATGCTTTTGTGGTGGCAACAACATCAGGGTTTAATTTGTCCACCGCGCTTTTAAGTTCTACCGATTCATTTGTCATGGTGTAAAAGTTTTTGTAATAAACCTGTGGTCTTGTAAACCGTCTAAGTGTACCGCTCAGGGTAGTTAAAGGGTTGTCTTGTTTCGAACTTCAACAAGACAAAAACCCTTAAATGTAAAGCTTTTCTTACAGTTTCGACGGCGCTCACCTATTTCTACTTCTGGAGACCGTCTATTAATATGATCAAAAAGGTCAATGTCGGCACACACATATATTTCAGATCCAGCTAGTTGATGTGAATTCGTAACATCGGTTACTATGTTAAGTCCCTACAGCTTATTCTGGCTATCGGATAGACCTTGTTAATTATTCACTTATCAACCTTCACTGATTTTACGCAAGTGTATGTATGTTCATTTTCTATTTTACCACATCTCTGTAACTTATTTTTGCCTGAATATAAACATCGATTAACGCTTGATAAAATCGAGTTGACTCACTCGCCCTCCTCATTGAGCGTCATTTGGCTTTGCCTCTCTTTCCGATCAACGATTGTACGAAATATACGTATTCATAAATCCATTCTCTCATTTGACACATTTGTTTTAGTTATTCACCAACGCTATTTAAGTCCATGATTTTATACGAGGATTGACGACATGTATCTTTCGATGACAAGCAGTAAATGATCTAACTGTGGTCAGATATAAAGCCAATAAATTTTCCAACGTATAATTTTTCCTTCAGTTGAAGCAAGAGTAGTTTTTAAAAGAAGACCCGTCTGAAGGCTTTGGGGATCCACTTTATGTCCTATTCACTGTGTGAGACTTAACTATGCAGTTCCCACAGTCTTTAAGAACGATTTGCTCTTCTTCTTCTTATTAACAGGGTCCTATATTAACTAGAGAATTAGTTAAGGGTTAGTTTGGCCAGAAGCCTTGTGGGTATGATTGTATGTTCTTGTGCTTTTCTTTCGAGACTCATAAGATTCAACAGTAATATCTCTGTGCGTTTACTTTTATCTGAGTTAGATGTCTTTACTGATGGACTATATATTAGGCTACTACAGGGTTTTTTGGACCTGCGCTTCAGTCTCTGTAGAAAGGGTTTCTGACCTATTGCAGTATTCAAGTGTTTAACTGAAATCTGTAAAAGGTGAATTCATTCGGTAACTAAGCTCAAAACCACTATTTGAGTAGTAAAACAAACACTACTGTAACACATAGCACATGTGGATGTGGCTGCATTCACATACAATTATCCATAAAAGCTGTGGTAATGATCACAATTTATATAAGTATATGCAGAATATGTTACAACAAAGCTTCTAATGTGTACGTCAAACCTGTAGATCACTAACGTAGATGGTCTGTGTCGAATGACTGGGGGCCTACTCGAGTTAGATGAGAAAGTTGTGCGAAAATAGCTATAGTTTCTGTCTACGGATTTAAGAGTACGGATGTTCCCACTTAAAATATTACCTACTTCAAGCAATAATATCACTGAAACTAGTTAGTGTATAGTACAATAGGGATGAAATAATAAGCGTACGGATACACACAAACAGATATGGGACGTATAAGCGTAAAATGACAAAAAAAACACAAACATGAAAGGTAATTACAATGAAGATCCCAATTCCCTACGAAGCCAATAGAACTATCGGAAAGATGGAAATCACTCATTGGCATCATGCTTCCTGAGTTACTGAAGTCTATACAAACATAACTAACCATGAAGGTATTTGAAATTTAGTCCCCAAAAGTAATCTGGGATTTCATTATAATTAAATAAATTTTAACAACAGCTCCTACTACCTGATGATAGTTATATAGTTGAAATTCTTCACTTTTTGCAGTTCACAAAGCTACGCACGAATGAAACTTAATTAACCAAAATATACACTTTGTTTCAGATCTTTCGTCAAATACTTTGGTTATCGAATAGAAGGATCACTATCATACTGTTTTCAGACACGAAAACCGATTGAATGAAAACTTCATGAACTCCTTCAATAAACATTTGTGTTACGCGGGTTGTGTACGGTAAGCGTTACTCCGATGAGTAGTCCTACAGATGAGACCATACAACTAACTAATGACGACGCTACATCCAGTAAAGCTTGTGCCGTTTCTCGGGGATACTGGAAAGACAAGTATATCAAGTATTTCTGTTCTTCTCCGTCACACAAAACTCCGGAGATTAATCGTGGCTATTTCATAAGAACAACTGCATTCAGAGCGATTGCCATATCATTTATCAAGGTTCCTTACTTTCGAAAAGTACAACTTATCATATCCAGTCCACAGGTGGAGCTTGTCAAATTGTGAACCTTGGTGCAGGCTCAGATACACTATACTTCGCTCTAAAAGATGCTCAGGAAACCCCAGAACTATACGTCGAATTAGACTTGCCATCTAACATTCAGCAAAAAGCTATGACAATACAACGGAGAAAACTGCTTGAATCAACGGGTAACATTCGTAAATTTTTTTATTCATGTATATTAGGTAAAATTGTCATTCACGGACAGTTAATATTTTATCACTTAATGTACCTTTATCTGCTTATTGGGCAATAGTTTTGGCTACTTGTTCCCTCTCGTTTTTCACTTCAGCTTCAAGCCATCGCCCCGAACAACTGGTTGTAATCAGAATCAATACCATATTCCGGAAAAGATAAGTCACTTAGTATGTGCCTGTACACAAGCCACACTTAGTATGAGTGCTAATAATACCACCTCGTGGTCGGAACTAAAATGGAGTAGTGCTTGGACCTAGTACCTTATGGTTGGAAGTCTAATCCTTTACCCATCAGGTCACCTTCAGTTCAGCTGTTTTTCAGATTCAGTCATTGAGACTGTAGGTCATCAACGTTTATGATCTCTGTCCAATGATTGGAGGCCTACTTGAGTTTAACGGGATCGGTGTGACGAACCAGCTAACTTCAAAGTCACACCTCGCTGTCAGTATCTAACGTGGATTACCCCATCAATGTATCAAAGTACTATGGCTGCTTTGAAGACTGTATAACACAAAGGACGTTATTACGTAAATATTTTGGTAAGACTGAATACAGAGAAGTTAGTGGGAGCATCACCGCATAGGCCAGTCCATGGCGTATGACTAACTAATGCGCGTTGGTCGCCCTTGACTTTGACAGGGATCGATGATCTGTTCGATGTTCAGTGACCCATCTGCCGGTCTATTGACATTTCACCGGCCCTACAAGAAGTTCCGTGCAATATGCACCAGTTCTGTAATGGCGGACTTACTAAACTGTACAAACTCACATTGTTAATGGCGCTACACTGAATTCTCCTGTATGGATTTTATTTTACAAAGTGTATTTCTAGACGGTCACCACTGTCATCCGTTTATGTGAGCGGCTAAGAAGACTGCTATGCATATCTCTCATTCGTTATAGTATCTCCATGTCTAATTGCCAGAAATCCGATATTGCTGAGTGTCGGTAAATCACACCGTGTGGATCCACATAAAAATGGTTCAAAAGTATCCTGAAACCTTAAACGACCGACCGTTGCTGCTACCTTGACGTAGTGGTCGGGCTTGCCTATCGTGATAAATCAATCGAGCTATACGGACTGGAACAATCGTTCCTCAATGTCTTACCATGCCAGGCAGGTTGGTTGAAGAGCGGTAAGACTAAAAACAACGAACCCAAGGTCCGAAGGCGAAGTCGTACTACTGACTGTACAAAGGTGTGACGGCAGTAAAGTGTTTCCTTCAGACAACCAGCATAACAGCTATGCTGCCTTCCTACAAGGAGGGCTGGGGTAAGAAAAAGGTCGACCCTAAAAGTGTACACCTCGCCTTATCCCAAGGATATCCGTCTCCGGCGGTAAAGTCCCAGCAAGTACGGAGCTAGCACAAAAATTACCCCCCAAAGGTCGTGTGTGACCGGCCTCAAGCAGTTGTCCCTTGGGCACTGCGGTCACGCTCTCAGGTCACTAAGACCACCTCTTATCCAATTTCCTTTTCAGGTACCTTTAGAAGAACCCTTTCACGATATGAGCAACCGGGAAGTGATAACTGCCTTCATATCTTTAACAGCACTCAAGATCACTGACTGAAACGATAGACAGAAACAGTGAAGTATGACATCAATTCAATCCAACCTACATTAAAGTCATTGTACACCATAAAGAAGATATTTGAAGTGGGGAATCCAGCAAAATAAAAATACTAGCCATATTAAAGTTTCTAAAAAAATCCGGGTAAATCGTGCGAAAATAGAACAATTAGTTTGAGGTACTGTGACATTCGAAAGTAAGACAAAGGCACTAATCGGATGTATATATTGTTGATTCCAAGCCCTGTCACAAATACTCCAGGCACTGATCCGGAGTGGTGTGCTGACCCCGAAGAATTAGTATATGCTTTTACTCAGTGGTCTGCACTCAATATTAATATTGGTGATTCTATGTTTTGAACATCCATAAACAATATCTTGATCACGTCATCGGGTATGGTTATTTAATCCGGCGAAAGTTACCAAACAGCGATATTTAATCTTTTGGTGTTTTGCCACATCCCTACATATCGTTTCGGATAAACATACCAGCGTATCCACCCTCTCGCACACTTTTTAGAATCACATGATCATATTTTGAACTTTAGCTTCTGTTTAGCGTGTCTGTTTCTAATATGTGTTCCACTAATATTGAATGTCTGATCGTTTAAATTTTTAATTTTACTATATTCTCTGATATGTATGTTATATATGTAACGAAAAAGCTTTATACTTTGAACCCAGATGCTTTACCACCTAAAGACGACAATTTAAACCCTATAATAAATCAAAAGACCTCTGTTGTCAACACACTACATGATAATTTGCACTACGTTTTCGAAATGGGACGGTTTCACTTACTGAGTTTCGATTTACGAAGACCTGTTCAAGATCTTCTAGATGTTTTATGTTCAACAGTTAACGGAGCTGGTTGTTCCAAAGTTTACCCAACTCTCTTCCTTGCTGAATGTGTACTTGTTTATATGTCTCCACAGGCAAGCTGTCAGTTAATAGAGGGTCTCTCGGCAAACTTTCCACGTGCTTCATTCCTACATTATGAACAGGCAGGTACTATTTTTTACTCATTTTTCACGGTTACTGATCAATTATAAATGTATGCACGACGTTATGGTATTCCAAACAAAACTTACTGTAATATAATTATATTTGTAAGGTGGGTAGTGATAACATCTCTTGTTCTAATGATAAAGCTTGATTAAACATCAAATTTTGGTTTATACCAAAACTCCATCACTATTTTTAGCAAAAAGCATTATGTACCGTAAAATATTTGTATACCTCGGTAACGAATGTTATTTGTAACATTTACAGAACCATGTCAAATTTTCCGTTCGTTTTTAGGTATAACGCGCACGAAACTATGTCAAATTACATCTGTCATTCATACCTAATATATGAACGATATCAATACTATCCAGTTATTTAGACTTAAATTCGCGATATAGACCAGAAATATTTTAATAAATGTAATCATGACAAGTTATTTATTACTAACCAACTTACTAGGCTCCTCGGTATCTTGTCTACTTGGAGCAAATAAAGATGTCTGTTAAACTCTAATTGTCATTATCACACTTTTGTTTTCGTCCGTAGACATTATCATACATTTATAAAATTCATTGTCTTCAAAGGGATATTTTTCTGTCCATATGCAAACGTTTCAACCAGACTGAGCCTAGATACAAATTTAAAGTTTAAGCATTTAATTAGAAAGCAAACAGCCTTTATTAAGTATATCCATCTACAAAATGCGGACGGAAAATATCTAAGAAGCAATTTAATGGATAATTTACGGAACAAATTAGTTGGATAAAGTTAGCTACTATTTTAGTTTGGTTTATTCGTTTTTTCTCAAGAATATGTTCCTCGCTTTATTTTTATGGTAACCCACAGCATTAAACATCAATAATTTTAATGTTCATAACAGGTTTTTAATCGTCTCAACTCTTTTGATTTTCTTTTAATTTTCTGTTCACTGTGCTAGTGCGAAGTGCGACAATTTGGGACACTGGACGCTTATTCCAAATTTTATATTGTTTACAGCTAAATGATCAATTTTATTAAATCCATTTGTAGTTCAGTGATTTTGATATCTTTTTGGTTCATAAAACTTGACAATTGATATTTCACTTTCAGACTGACTGCTGTCATCACAGCAAGCTTCAAATGGTAGTAAATCACACAAATACTTCGAAAGTAGCTTTATCTCGTCGTGTTTTTATAGCCTTAAACTATACGAGCTCTTTTTGATTATCATCAGGCTAATAGACGAGTTACTGTCGTCACTAAATGGCAGCTATTTTTCTGTACCATGACTGGTCTTTTACATGTTATCTCTTCTGATTGATATACAAACTGGACCTACACTATGATCGGTACTTAATGACCATCATTTTTACGGAAACCTTTCTTTGCTAATGACTTATTACACGATCTCTATTTTACAAATGTCTTCATAAAAACTTATGTTCCCTGTGGTTACGCAACTGTTATTAACATTCGACCTCTCATCAAAACTTCGACAATCCTCTTGTATTATGTTACCCAATATATGGGTACATACTCAAATTTATTTCGCAATTAGTACCTCTGAATATTAATTATTTTATTCTCCTCATCTTTTAATTATTTCGTCAATCATTCTCAATTACCTCCATAAACACTCATGAATTTATAAAATTATTATCTCATACACCACTGACTGATCAGTATCGACTTTATTATTACAATTATTATTGTTATCATTGTTATTATTATCGTTAAGCGTATATATTAGTCATGATGTAAAACTAATTGAGAAGGAAAATTTATTCGCTGTATTCAAATCCTGTGTTATCGATTATCCAGGTTAATATGAGCGATTCATTTGGTTCTATTATGGTCAAACATTTTCGTGCTCGTTCCTGTGAGCTTCCTGGTCTCGATGCATGTCATTCACTTGCTACTCAAGAAGAACGGTGAGATTTCTATTTAAATTTCCATGTAAATGTGACTGGTAATTACTGTTGGAGATGCTAGATCCTCATAAATCACTTGGTAAACGTCTTATTTTTTACTTTATTTTGGAAATTTGGATTTCTCGGTTTCACTTCAAAAGCGCCTATTTTTACCTTCGGATTGTATTTCTCACTTGGAAGGACCCTAAATATCATTGGTTAATGCTTTTGGCTGCTTGTAGAATACACCTTCCCCTAAACCTGATCTTCTCCTTCTAGTTAGTAGGGCTGGGACGAATTGGAATAGTTTAGCTCGTCTTGTCATTGTGTTGCTGATCCTTCGTTCCTTTAACCGACTTAAGGTGATCTCTTTATCTCTTCAAACATAGCAGTTACTGATTGAAGTTCCATCGAATACTAGATTTACTGTTTTATTACGTTGTAAGGTAAAATAATATTGTTCGAGGACCGTTTTACTTTATAGGGTAATTAGTTCAAGGCAGTTACTGTTTGAATAAATCAAATGGTTATATAGTGCTAGTCGATTAGTAGTAATAATCAAAATATTTGACTTGCTCATGATGAATAGCTATTTATTTGTTAAAACGAATATTTCTTCAAGCTCACTTGAAAAAAGTCTTCATAAGAGTTCCTTTAATCTGTGTACATACTGTTAACATACTAACCATTTCTGATATGACTGTTACTCAAGGACAACTTCCATGTTGATGGCTTACATTAATTTACTGGGGTCTTGAATATATGTTCTGGTGATACAGTTATGTTTTAACTTTTCAAAATCATAACAGACCTGTTTATTATTTTGTTTGCATCAAAATTCAAATATCGATGGTGTCGACTTCAATCATCACTCGTGTTTTCAAATAGCGCTAGAACTAAACCCATGATTTGTAACGTTAAAATGAAGTGTAAAATTTAGACGTTAATGTAATTTTCACATCATGACAAACTCATTTCGGTTGGTCGAAGTTGTTCGTAGAATAATTATTTGTTTTTTTTTTAAAAAGTACTTCACTTTTATCATCAGGACTTCAAATAAAAATGCATTGTTTTAATCTCCATACAACTATTCAGCTGAAACATTCTTTCACTACGAAAATCTGCATATTTGTTATTGTTTTTCATTTCTTTTCACAGGTTTTTTAAGGCTGGTTGGAAAAAAGCCAAAGGATGGACTATAAATCAAGTATATAAGATGTTACCTATCAATACTCGATACAGGTAAGATTAGATTAGGTTGTTTTTCAACTTCATAATACATATTAAGATATAATTTATCTTTCATCATCACTTATCACTAATCTTCGGTCTCATATTTCGTGATCATTTCCAATATTGATGTAAAGACGAATAGCATTCGAATCTAAACTTTTCATATGAGGTATTAAAAATTCTGAATTAGACCTTCACTTCATGAATATGTGTGTAGTTTGAGTTGAAACAATATAATGTGAGTTTGCCTGGAGTGAGGATTTGCACTTGAAATGATATGCCAGTAGGTAAAATCATATTATTTTATATTTATTATTTAATCACATATATATTGGTACAAAGGGCACCGGATACATATGCGCCACACAAAATAATGAGAATGGGATTAGAAGATGTGTATATATAAAGGAAGGAAAAAAAGAAAAGGAGAAGAGTAATGACGGGGGGAACTGAAATGTACAACCAGAAGAGCTCTCTCAGTTAGAAAAATTATAGCCGCTCTTCATGAAGAAAGTAAAAGAAGGTTACAGCAGGATCGCCACTGGCTTCTATTCTGAGCCATATCTGACAACGTCTCTAGCCACTGTGTTGCACCATCTCTCAGACCCCAGCCAGGGAGTCGTGAAGGACCAACAGAAGCTAGCCCTTTGCAGCTTTCTTTCATACCACGACACCATGTCATACACTGACCTCCTCTCCGCTTTTTCCAACCAGTCCCAGAGTCGGCAAATAATGCACGACGTGGAAGTCTCTGGGACGACATTCGTAAAACATGTCCAAGCCACCGAAGTCGATGTTTCAAGATGGTGACACCAATTGAATTATCGTCTCTGCGCCCAAACGCACGATGCCGAACCTCTGCATTACTAACATGGTGTTGCCACTGTATGTCAGCAATCCTTCGGAGACAACGATGATCGAACAAAGAGAGACGTCCAACATCATCAACTCGGAGCGGCCAGGTTTCACAAGCATAGAGCAAAACTGCTCTCACCGACGCGTTGTAGATCCGACCTTTTACAGCCAGACTAACATCACGAAGGCGCCAAAGATGGCCCAGATTGGCATAAGCCGCTCTGGCTTTCATTATACGTGCATCAATTTCATCACTCACGCTACCACCAGCACTTATGTAGCTACCTAGATACACGAACTTCTCAACTACTTCAATCTGCTCACCATCCAGGGTGAGTACAGGATGAGAATCCTGCCAGTCTTGTAGGAGTACCTTGCACTTGGAGGGTGCAAAGCACATGCCGTACCTGCGGACACTGATTGCCAACTGATTAAGTGCTGATTGCATGCCTTGGGCATTATCGCACAGTAAGACAATATCATCCGCATACTCGAGGTCGAGAAGTCGTTCTCCAGGCAACATATCCACACCGCCATTACTTACATCCATCTGAGCTGTTTCCAGGATGTCGTCGATGGCAAAGTTGAAGAGGAATGGTGAGATCGGGCAACCCTGTCTAACCCAACTGCTTAAATGAAACAAGGGAGAAAGGTGGTTGTATGCCCTCACTCTGCCTGAGGTGTTCGTATACAGGGCCTTTAAGATGTTAATGAACTTCTCAGGCACACCGTTCTTCAATAGACAATCCCAGAGAACAGTCCTGTCCAACGAATCGAAGGCAGCCCTGATATCAAGAAACACTACGATTGTTGGCCTGCGATAAGTATGACGGTGTTCTAACATTTGGCGGAGGGTGAAGATGTGATCAATGCATCCTCGACCAGAACGAAAACCAGCCTGCTCCTCGCGAGTCAATCGTCCTCGGGTTTTAAACCACCTACGAAGAATGACAGAAGCCAATAGTTTGGACGCAATCGGAGGTAGACTTATCCCCCGGTAGTTGTTACAGGAACAACGTGAACCCTTTTTAAAGATAGGGACAACTATCGACTCATTTTATGATGTTGGAACACTTTCTTGCTCCCAAACCTTTTCAAACAACACCGTCATTTCCTTAGCCAGAAAGTCACCACCATCTTTAAAAAGAGCCGGAGGTAAGTCATCTGGGCCCGGTGATTTGTAACGTTTCAAGAGTTGGAGTTCCTTGCGGACTTCCGCCTCGTTTGGTGGATCAGTCGTCACCGGCCACGGGGGGTAGGACAAACTGGTTGATGTTGCCGGAGCAGCAGGCCAGTTGAACTGCCCTTCGAAAAATTCCGCCCATCGTCCAAGACGTCGAGAGATGTTAGTGATTGGCATCTCATCATCCTCATAGATTGTTTCACCCACACCAGACGTCTTGTTGCCAGTGGCTCGGATGAGTTGGAAGAGTTTCCGGCAGTTACCAGATGCAGCTGCTGCTTCCATCTTCATTACGTAACAGCCTTCGTTTGTGGTCATACTCACGGTCACCCGGAGTAGACTGACGGGCTTCTGTGAGTTGTAAGGAGCCAGAAGAAACCCAATGCTTGTAAGCAGGACGTTTCGCGAAGCCGCAAGCGGCTTTACTCGCCATTTTCATGGCGTCGTGAAGATGCAACCAATGCTCATCTATACTTTTCGGTGGGATGGTAGCTAGCCTAGAAGCTAGCTCCGCTCGATACTTACTTGCAACAGATGTTGCAGCCAGTTTACTAACATCGATCCGTTGATGGCGGTCAATCCTTCGGCCACTGAAAAGTAAGATGAGATTGGCGCAGATCAGGGCATGATCAGACTCCAGATAGGTACTCCAAAAGGAGCGGCAGTCTTGTACACAACCACGCCAGCGGTAGCTGATCGCGATGTGATCAATCTGAGTCCAGGCTTGAGATGCAGAGGGAGGACGCCAGGTGGCACACCGGCGATGACTGTGCCGGAAGTTAGTGCTGGCCAGAAACAGGTTGTGGTCTGTGCACAGTTGCAGCAAACGGTCCCCGTTATCTGTCCTGCAACCAGCAAGTCCCCATCGGCCACCTAAACGACTCTCTTCTGTGCCTAGACGCCCGACCTGTGCATTGAAGTCTCCGGCTAGTACTACAATATCTGTCGAACGCGCTTTCTGAAGAACTGTTAACTGGTGGTAAAACTCATCCTTTATTGCATCCGGGCTGCAATCTATCGGGGCATAGGCGGAGATGACGAAAAGACACCGTTTCTCACGCCAGTTTCTTCTCACTTTGATGCAGCTTTCTAATCTAACAGCACATAACCGACTGTTAATGGGGATCCAGTCGATTAGTGCTGCCTCAGATCTAGCGCTTAGTGCGACACCAACGCCAGCAAGACCAGACGAAGATGCCACAGGGTCCCCGGATAAACGCACGTGAAACAAGCTTTTCGAGGCGACAGATGGAGAGCGGATTTGTAGTACTTCACTAGAGTCTTGAATACGGGTCTCGGATAGACAACAAACGTCAACATTAAGACCTTCCAAAGACATAGCCAGCCCTATCTGTTGTCTGACCTGCATTAGTGTGCGAACGTTGAAGGAAGCCAGCTTGAACGGCGTACATGGTTTCAGAAAGACTGCTTCAGTATTCATAATCGGTGGAAGCATTCACTTTCAACCAGACAGTGACTGGAGATCGTTTAAATAGGACAGAGTTTCTACCAAGAGCGAGCTGCTGCATAGGTTGAAAAGTAAGGTTACACAAATTGAGGATAAAAGTGGGTGAATTAGCGATATGGTAAATAATAATAATAATAATAATAATAATAATAATAATAATAATAATAGTAATAGTAATAATGCAAATTGATTTGTTTCTAGTATGAACGAGAATATAATTGTCAGTTGAATGTTCCATTTCATTTATTTGCGAGAGGGCTGTGATACTGCCCGGGTGCCCAAACCGAAGCAGGTGGTTTTCTTAGGGGGCCACACCCCGAGCCTTTGATCTAGAGGTCTAACCCACAAGGCAGTGGAGCATCGTGAGGAAATGCAGTCCCATGGTAGCCGGTGACCAATAACTGGTTTATTCGCCATTTGTTCCTTCAGGATACGGGAGCCCATGTGCACCATTGGTTTGGAATCAGGGTTTTCCAACTCCCCTAGGTGGATCCTTCATATCCACCAACCCGGTTAAAGCGCCGGACATTCGCTTTTCGTCCTCTCACTTTTGTGAACAACACCCCCGCCACGAGAAGGCAGTGAGTAGGACTTCCCTGGCAGAGGCTATATATTCGCTATATATACTCCCCACTCTCGACCGTACCAGGGCATTTGGGGGCAAGGTAAAATCATGATGTGTTATATATCCATTTTTCTAAACTTGTAATTATGTAAAAGTAAATCCCATTATGTAGTAAGTAGTCTTTTTCAAAAGCTACTAATAAATGAAGTTTGAAGGCATCTAATGATCATAAGTGTAAGTATTATTCCAATTGTGAGATGAATATACAAAGTTTTTTGTGTTGTTGTTTTTAAGATTCTGTTATAATTCCTCTTATTACAACCCAGCTATTCCTATTGCTTAGTATTCTTTGACACCAATTCACTCGAAAAGTCCCCGAATCAGAACACGGTTAAACAGGAACAAAATTATTTTCTGAATAATAAGGGTAGATGGAAGTAAGAAGCACAATAAGATATACGTTATTATATTTATACTTTTTACATGAGAAGATTCTAGAGACCTCTCCAAGTATCCATTAGCGCTTATTGGATAAGAAATAGTCAACTAGTGTGTACCAACATAGTCTTGCACTGAACGTGCTTTAATCCAATCTATGTCCCTCTAACAAATTCTATCCAAACTCTGATGCATTATCAGGATGTAAAAATAATTAAGAGGACTAGTTGTGTTTAAAAAACAACATTGACTAGTGAATTTATATCCAATCTATACAATATTTTAATATATTAATTAGAGTTTATCTAATCTTTGAAAGAGCTTGTAGCTTACTGTTTAGCCTCACGATTAAAAATTGCCAGGTAAACTTTTATGTACTGATAAAGTTCAGTTCACTTTTGAAGGTGAATACTTTCGCCAGATTGATGGGGTTGCTATGGGTAGTCCGTTAGGACCATTACTAGCAGATGTGTTTATGGCACATGTGGAAAATCTGTCCGAAGACTTAATCGGAAACATGTCACTTTATAAGAGATATGTGGACGATATCTTAGTATTCTGTGAAAGAACGGAAGATAAAACTGCTTATTGAGTAAATTTAACACTATCCAATACTATATCAGTCTTTCATGAGAAGAGGAGAAGAACGGCCAACTTCCCTTCCTAGGTGTACTTCTAAGCAGACGAGAAGATGGCTCAATCAAACGATCCATTTTTCGAAAACCGACGTGGACGGGTCATAATCTTAGTTACTGTAGTTATTGCTCCGTGCAATACAAACGTGGTTTGGTAAAGTGCCTTTTTAACAAGCTTGGTCGTATTTGCACAAACGATGCTACTGATGATGATGTTAAGTTGTTAACCAAGACATTAATCGGGAATGCTTATCCACCTAAATTTATCAATAGATGGAAAGTTCAGGGCACAGCGAGACCTACTGTAGCCTTGGTAGAGAAAAAGCCTGTCTACATCATCTTACCATTTAGAGGTGATTCAAATAGCCTTTTATCGAAATAAAGGCTTAAATCTGTCATCAACAAAACTTATTGTGCAGCAAAGGTCGTAATCAAAGAAAGAACGAGGTCCATGATTCATTCAAAACCTAGACGACATGAAAACGATTGTGTCACATCCCACTGCGTTTACCAATTTAAATGTGTGTGTGGTCACACATACATAGGGAGGAGCAATCGTGATCTGAAAATGAGGGTGGGTGAACATGTACCAAAATGGTTGCAAAAACAAATAGAACCAAACGACTCGATGAAAGTAGAGTATAAACATCCATCATCCTCTATTGTCAAGCCTATAATCGAAACAGGTCATAAGATTGATCTTAACTCGGCTTTTGTTGTGTTGTTTAAGAGTGTAAAAGGGCGTATGCTGAGGTTTATTGAAGCCTTAGCCATACGAAAATTCAAACCCCCTTTGTGTAAAAACAGTTTGTTCTCTCCTTATACCTACCCTGGTAATATATGCTTATTATCCAGAGTGATTAGGTGTCAAGTTGTTTTCACATTATTTTTATCATTATTATCCTTGTCTATTCTTACCCCTATTTCCAGTCTAGTTGACCTTTTATTTTTATATATAAATGTTCTTAACAAGTTTATGTGTGATCAGATTGTTCGAAATGTATTGTGCTAGTATATCACATAGTTCTGATAATCTTCGTCTTCTTATTACATTATCGAAACTTGATTCTATCACACAAATTATTCATCCAAAGGGTTAACTGCTGATCAGTCTTACCCTTATGAAAATTAATAATTAATTATTTCAGAGGGGGTTTTGTGGAGTATTTGACGTAAGATGGTGGTTGGAGGTGGTCAACAGGAAACCCTGGACCCGGGTTTCGTGCTACTTGGCACTCGTCAGCAAGGTATACCTGTAATCCTGAAGGAACTGATGCTCCCTGGCGGATTCGATCCCGCGTCACTCAACTTCACAGTCAGAGACGTTACCACTGAGCTATTCGGGCCGCGACCAACCTCCTGTAGGACTGAGATGTAATCACAATTGATTGAGTATTTGACTGATTGCTTAAATCTCGTTTTACCTGTTTGGACATACATTTATAAGGTGTAGCTTTCATATGAGTTCGTTATTGCTCATATTTTTATTTTAGAGTAGAACATTTGGAACTATTGGATGACCTTGAAGTGACAATGCAGTTGTTTGATCATTATTGTATTCTCCTGGCAACTAATGATGAAACACTCTGCCCCGATAAACAGTTGAAAGAATCGTTATCCACTACCGAATAGTCGTCTTCTTATATCAAATATCTAATTCATTACGAAAGTATATGATGTACTTCATTTTACATATTTCGATTCCTTTTTCTTTTCTTTTTGTCAAGTATTTGTATAATCCATCGTATAACTTCATTAGTTCCTACTTTGTGATGTATATTAATGCTGTAAATGATGACGACAAAAGAATCCACGTTAAAATATATTTGTACAGATACTAGCATTGATTGTTGTTCTACCAGCGCCGAAGTGCTAACTACATCCCTAAAATTCGAAAACAATGATCAATGAACTCAGTCTTCGAAAGTGAATGTTATCGTGCTCACCGTAATAATTGAAGATTTTAGTACTGATTTTATGTACTGCCGTCAGTTCTCTGCTGAAGAACCTCATACCAGGACGAAAGATTTGTCTTAAGCTGATGTCAGATTGCAATGCGAACTATTCTTAGACATTTATCTTTGTAAAGGTTTTATTAATCTCAACAGTTGACATAATTCATTAGTATTCACGTCGGTTAAATTAACAAATAACTTGACACAGATTTAACCATCTAACCATTTAATAATAACTAAGTACTTGTTTCCAATAATGATATCACACATACGTGTGCGTGCTCTAGTTTCTATTTCTTTGGTCAAATCATTCATGTATTAAAAGGATTTCATTGAACGGTAGTTTTATCAGATAGATTTGCTTGTAGTTCGGGTCCGCGTAATCTTAGTAATAAAAGGAATCTTTATAAAGTATTAGTTGACCAAACCTAGGTAGCTAAACACAGTCTAGTTTTGTAAGGAAACTCATCCTCATAGAATGATTCGAACCCTCACCGTTTATTCCTATAATAAATAGGGTTTGTCCAGTACTAAGAGGTAGATAGTGTACTACTACTATTCAGGAATCATTTACACCTGTTACTCCCAATGGAGCATAGGCTGTCGACCAGCATTCTTCAACCCACTCACACTGTCCTGGGCCTTCTATCCAGTTCTATCCAATTTTGTTCATTCTCATGTCTGCCTCCATTTCTCAGATTATTAGGTTCTTTGGTCTTCCTTCACCTTCAGGATTCCATGTGAGGGCTTGTGTTGGGACGCAGTTAGCTGTTTTCCTCAATGTGTGTACTATCCACTTCTTCCTCCGCTGAAATCTTGTTTCTTCTCTCCCACAGTAGAATGTTGCTGATAGTTTCTGACCAACGGATTCGAAGAATATTGCATAGATAACTGTTAATAAATACTTGTATCTTCTGGATAATGGCTTTCATAGTTCTCCACGTTTCCGCCCCATACAGTAGAACTGTCTTGACATTTGTATTGAAAATTCTGATCTTGGTGTTGGTTGACAATTGTTTTGAGTTCCAGATGTTCTTCAATTGTAGATATGCTGCTCTTGTTTTGCAGATCCGCGTCTTCACATCTGCATTAGATCCATCATGTTCATCAGTGATGCTGCCTAGATGTGTAAAGGTTTTCACATCTTCCAAAGTTTCTCCGTCAAGTGTGATTCGATTGATGCATGCTGTGTTGTATCGGAGAATCTTACATTTCCCTTTGTTTATATTGAGACCTACTGCTGCTGAGGCTGCTACTACATTGGTCGTGTTCTCCTGCATTTGTTGCTGCGTGTTTGATAGAAGGGTCAGATCATCTGTGAAGTCCAGATCATCCAGCTGCATCCTAGCTGTTCATTGTATCCCGGGCTTCCCTCCAGATGTTGACGACTTCATGATCCAGTCGATCACCATGAGAAAGGGTGAGAGTAAGCAACCTTGCCTGACACCGGTCTTTGCCTCGAACAAGTCAGTGAGTTGTCCTCCGTGCACGATTTTGCAGTTAATCCATCATAGGAATTCCGTATGATATTGACTATCTTCTCAGGCAGGGACTCCATAGTGTTGTCCTGTCCACACTATCAAATGCTTTCTCGTAGTCAATGAAGTTGATGTAGAGTGATGAATCCCATTCAATTGATTGTTCCACAATGATCCGTATAGTTGCGATTTGGTCAGTACACGATCGGTCCTTACGGAATCCAGCCTGTTGGTCTCGAAATTAGGCGTCTATGGAGTCCCTCATTCTGTTTAAAAATACCCTGTTGAAGATATTTCCTGGTATTTAGAGAAGAGTGATGTCCCTATAGTTATCACACTTGCTGAGATCGCCTTGCTTTGGTATTTTGACCAGAAGTCATTATTTTCAGTCTGTTGGCACTTGTTCTTCATCCCAAATCTTACTGAAGAAAATGTGGAGTATCTTTGCAGTTACTGCTACATCTGCTTTCAGTGCCTCTGCTGAAATGGTGTCTGGTCCTGCTGTTTTGCCGCTCTTGATTTGCCTGATGACCATGCTGATCTCTTAAATTGTCGGTGGGCAAACATCGATTGGGAGGTCCATGGGTGCTGCTTCGATGTTGGTTTGTTTCGGTGAAGCTGATCAATTCAAGAGTTCTACCCACTTGTTTCATTGTTTTTCAATGTTGGCATCAGTGCTTGAAGTCACTAATTTCTAGCCTGATCCATGTTGGTAGATGCAGACTACCTGGTTGGGGTCCGCGTGACTATCGTAACCAATGGTTGGAGACTCTGGGTGACATGGCTCAGAATCGATCACAATGGCGTAGGTGTATACACTCTTTATGTTCCCTTAAACCTTGAGATTAAAATTGCTTCATAACTTTTTTCCTTCCTATACTATATCCTTATATACAACCTTTCTTTATATACTACCACCACTAAATTAATTACTTCTATGAATCCGGCGTTCATCTTGTTGTGCTAACGAGGTGTGGCAACTTGGACCAATGCATATATGTGCCTGGTCCTACGTTGTCGCTAACTGACTGAATGTTGGTGATTAGCTTACCTTCGTTGCTTTTCATTGGTCGTTCTGGCTTACGGTAATTCTCAGCGAGTTTCTTTGTTGTATCATACAGTTGTCTCATGTTTCTTTCTCTTGCAGCCTTTTCCGCTTTCATTGCTAAATCTTCCACATATTTAGGTTTGTCAATTCTGATGTTCCTCTTCACTCAACCTCCCTTATTGTTTCAGGTATATAGTTAACATGTCAGTACAACTATTGTCTCGATCCTAATGTTAGTGCATTTTAATTTTGTCCCAAGTATATTTGATTCAATCATTAACATAGCGCATACAGTTGACGATGTTGATTAAAGACTCGAAATGTTCATTTGTACTTGATTGATGAAGCTATTATTTTCCCGATGTATAGTTATAACAAACCCGTGTTTTGAGTGGATCATTTGGGCACCTTGTGAAAAATATATATAGTTTACGTGAATCAGTTATCACCTTGTCAATCGGACTATCTCAAGAACCTTTCAAATTCAGAATATCTACTTAGTTAGTAGCCGCAAACTGAGTATCTGCATGATTTGCTCTCCATAACTCAATTTAGTGACTTCCCTTGCTTTCAAGATACTACTTTACTTGAGATACAACGATCTTCCATGAGACAAAAAATCGTCTTTTTTAATCAGAAGTCATTAGTTGTTGTAGATCAACAAACTAGTTTTTTAAAAAGTATAATCGTGACCAGCTGATTTTGATTTCCCTTCAAATTAATGCTTACAATTTATCCGTAAATTCAGGTTTTTAAAATTTTGTAATCTAGTTAGGTATTGCTTTCATCAATCTCAAAGCCGGATTGCTTATCCGTTGTCCTAGGTAAATTAACGACTTTAATGATTTCTCGATTTATAACTATCACGTAAACAGGGCAAAATATTCATGACTGTGAACTTGCATAAGTGTTCATTATTCTACTTTCCATTAATTTCCACTTATAGAGTTCTATAATTCTCTAATTAACAAGCCATGATATATCCCAGGTTGACTTATTCTCGGCATGTATTCTTCAGTGAATAAAGTTTATCTAACTGATTGGAATCTATTTCTAATATATTTACACATTCTTATATATTTTGTCTGTTATCGTGTATTATTTAAATTGATGATCTATCAAGATAATCAATAAATCGCTGTAAATATATTGTAAAACATTCAAAGTATGATGTATACTCAACTTATTCGTCAAATGCTGAATTGTTGTTCCTGGTTCATACTAATTTGTCTTTCAATTAATTATGTCCTTGCTAGTAGTTATTTAAAATACAGGTGGGGTCAGTGGTCTTCGACACCCTTAACTTGTTCCGTTACTTGTGGTAATGGAGTAAGATGTCGAGTTCGAAGTTGTCTTGATGGATATGGTAATGTACAGTCATCAACAATGATGTGTGAAAGTTCAGATCCATATGAATCTCAAGCTAAAGAATGTATGCCATGTTTTGTCAATACACGTTGCCCACGTATTCCAGGTTGGGGAACATGGAGTTCATGGTCATCATGTCTTCCTACAGGTGGGCAAAAAATTAATGGGCAAGGATGTCATACAGGAATTAGAACGCGTTACCGACTTTGTAACAATCCTCCTCCAGAACCATATGGGTTCAATTGTTCTGGGATTAGTCACCAGACTACAGAATGTGATTATAATTGTGTAGATGAAGCTTTTAGTACCCTTGATGATATTGCCGATAAAATAACTTTCCAGGTCGCAAAAGATCAACTTAACATGAATGCATATCAAAATATTCTACGAATGCGTGTTAAGCAAAGTGTTCGAATGGACTGTGTAACACCAGCTTACAACCTTGCCAAAAAATTAACTTCTCGAGGAATTTTCGGTCTAACCTCTCGACTATTTCAAGAGCATACTTTGACTATAAAATGGCTTAAAAATGGAAGATCGATAATTCCAGCCGATTCTAACTCAGGATCTATATCTGAAAGAATTTACAGAACTAAAAATTTTAAGAATAATCAAAATAAACTGTTTGATGAAGAAATGAAATGGAATCTACTGCCAGAGATATCTTCATTTTACATGGAGGATACATATTTAGTTTTTCCAAGTATAGATTACTATGACCAAGGTTTTTATACCTGCCAAATGACGATTGGTAATCACAAGTGGAATACAATTTTTTATACCTTGATTATTACTGGTATAAAATACATTGCACTAGAAGGTGATCCGTTTTATCTTTATTCTAATCTGGGATATTTTAATGCATTGGATAATACAGCCGTTTGGATGGAATCAGCCCAAATAGTATGGAAATTAAATGGTTATGAATATTCACGTAATTTAGCTTTACGATTAAACCGACGCATCCAATTAATTCCTTATTTAAACTTAACACATCATGGGACTTGGAAATGCTTTTTATTTCTTCAAGCGTATCGTTTACCAAGTCAAGTCGATAATCCACGGACATTTATTAATCGGATATATTTAATTAATGAGTTTTATTTAAAAGTTTATTCAACACAACCTAGTTTATGGCAATCAATCAAATATCCAATCACAGCTAGAGCGTTGAAACAAACAACTGTGATTTTATTAACGATTGGTTTGTTTCTAACTCTAATTATATTATTAAATATATGGGCTGCTAGACGCTGGATAAAACGAACACTAACAAGTGATCAACAAAAGGCTATTATACAAGAATTGTTAGATAATGAATGTAGATTATTATTGGCCTGTAAAAAACGGGCTAATATAAATAAAAACAGATTACTACCACTAATTTTACAAGAAGACCAACGTTTACGGAAAGCTAGTAGAATTTTAGGTTTAGATAATAAACAACAAATTAAAATTGCCTGTTATCAGTAATGTCTGGAAAAAGATATAGTGTGAAGAAATTACCTTTAGAAAAACATTTTAATAATTTCGGGTTCTTTCTTTGTGTTGCCACTCAGTAGTTGTTTATGTAGGTTATTATGCCAGTTACATAATCCCATTCAAATTGTAGATTTATAATGATAACTTTTTGATAATAGTCTAATAGCATCAGAAATACAAATGGATGTCAGATAATTAAACTTTGTTGAATTCAATCCATAAATAAGATTATAAATGATCTTTTCAAAGACTTAGTAATCTTTTAACTCTACAATTTCTAATCATTGAGACTGAACATAAAGTACATGAAATTCTTGAAAATTAAATAACAATCTACTCTCAATTCTTATGACAATTGAAAATTTATTCACTCATGAAAACCAAGAATTAAAGTAAAAATAGTTGAACATGAATGTGTTTTAATAGATACCTTTCTTTCGAATGTCTATTTAATATTCATTATTTCGATATTGTTATTGTTCAATATCGATTTGAAATTGACAAAATACTCAAATAAAGTTTAAAATATAAAAGATAGTTTTCAAAATTCAGAATTAAATCTTTAATTATGTTCAATTTCTATCAACATATTTATTAAACCACTGTAAGTGCTGAAATTTATCATTATATAAGAGGAATAATCATTCGTTTTGACTTTTACCGGGAGGCTCACGTGTTGACTTAGAATACGCCGACGACATAGTTTTATTCGGTGAAGACTCTGACAAAATGCAGAGTCTTCTGACCACTATAAGCAACTATGCAGGCATGTTCGGGATGCGATTCTCTTCCTCGAAGTGCAAAATGTTACTTCAGGATTGGGTTGCATCGACACCTGAACTAATGATAGGGGGGGGAAGTAGTTGAGCGTGTTGACAGCTTCACTTATCTTGGGAGTCTCATCAGCCCTTGTGGTCTGGTATGTGACGAAATCTCAGTACGGATACAAAAGGCTCGTCTAGCTTTTGCCAACTTGCATCATTTATGGCGTAGGCGAGATATCCGTCTAGCAACCAGAGGACGGGTTTACTATGCAGCAGTTCGTTCCGTCCTACTTCATGACAGTGAAACATGGCCGATAAGAGTAGAGGATAATCGTAGACTACTAGTGTTCGATCATAGGTGTCTTCGACGCATTGCTCGTATATCCTGGGACCACCGAGTAAGTAATGCAGATGTTAGGAAACGGGTACTAGGTAAGGATGGCGAATCAATTGATGAAGTAGTGAAACTTCACCAGTTGAGATGGCTGGGACATGTGTTACGTATGCCGGACCACCGACGTGCAATGCTTTATGGTGTAGGAGTAGGTTGGAAGAAAGCTAGGAGCGGCCAGACCAAAACGTGGCATAAATCCATGAAGTCGCTGACAAGTGGACTGAGCCATGTTGGTAGGTGTAGGCTATCTGGTTGGGATGCGCGAGATGATAGCAACCGATGGTTAGAGACCTTGAATGACATGGCCGAAAATCGTTTGCAATGACGAAGGTGCATTCACTCTTTGTGTTCTACCAAATTCTAATCTGAATTATTCATGTCCCTTTCTTTTTTCTCTTTTCAAATTTATTTCATTGGATTATACTCCTTCAATAACATCTTCAAACCCTAATCTTTCGGATTACTGCTTATACTTTTACTACCTCTAGTACTATGAGATTTGAATCGACAATTGTATCACAGCGCTACTCGATCTGATGTACGTACGTACGAAGTTCTACGTTGTGACTGACTGAATAATCATTCGTTTACAATCTCTGTGATATGTAAAAGAAAAGACAAAAGGTGATCTTTTATTCAAATAAAATGTATCACGAAAAATTGATCAAACTCTAAAATTATGAATCAAATGAATACAGATTGGAATGAATAATTTATTACATGAGATATTTTTTATGATAATAAATGATCTTATCATAACTTCATTTCAAAAATTGATATAATTTCATTAACGCAAAAAAGATTTATTTATTTTAATCATTCTCAACATCATTGATACTACCAATAATTCGACTGTCGCTAATTATCTTATCAATATTTATGTCATCGTGTTAACTAATGTGTTGATTATGATTGATTAATTCAGTAAATGGTATGAAACAAACATTTATCTTGATTTATTCGCTTCGTTGGTAGTAGAATAGATCTGTACTGTCCTCATCGAATGTTTGATCTAGTCTAAAACGTAGATCGCTTTTTGACATGTATAATTTGCAGAGGTGGATGATAGCTAGCAGTGGGAACCAAGGTGTGTATTTGGTCCCGAGACTCTCCAGTTGTATTTGCCTGAATTCCAGAGTTGATGTTTACTCCGAGACTCGAACCCAGTTCCATCGACTTCAGACGCCATTACATTATCCACTGAGCTACTGAGTCCAGATGGTCAATTGCTTGTGCAATGGAATCATTATTACGTATAATGTGAATTCTGTACAAATTATCATGAAGTCCCAGAAATTTGACAGGTGGTGGATTGTTTGTGACATGGGTTTAGCCAGTTAGGAAAATTCTGATTGGTATATCGGACAAAACACCTTACCGAACAAATGGTAGAATTTTCCAGAGATTAACATCAAATAAACGGGGAGAAAGTATTTCCAAAACACCAGTTCGATTCCTGCTTCTACGAAATTATGCTGAATTTGAAAATACTTCATATTATTCAAATTACTTTTTGTAGATTTCATTTCAATGATAAGGTTGACCGTATATAAGGAAGGTTTCCAAAAAGTAAAGATCTGTGGTATGATTGAGTTGGTTTGGAAAGTTTCATATTTCTCTAAATAAACGTTTTTCAAACTGAGCTTTAGCGCTACAAACATTACACTATGTGTAAACTTCAAAAATAAATGAGCTCCTACAATTCGACTACAGTTGAAGTGCTTGTATATTTTGAAATCTTTATATATGCCATTATTTTAACTATTTTCTATATATCCCCGTAAACAGCATGTGTTTTCTAACAAACAACTTCCTTAAACACTTACTTAATAGATTAGGTTTCTTTCACTTTTTCAAATGACAGAAATGCACATGGTAACTATTCTTGAGGAGACTTCTATGGGTTTACATTATCCACTTACTCTTAGTGTGATACATAATTACAGTCCCCTCTCTGCTTTTTTGTCGTTGAGTATTTGATTTGGAAAACACACAGGAGAAATTACTTTGTCTAAATTACAGAACATTTTACTCTGTAAATGGTATTGTATTATATGTGGTGTATTAGGAATTCAATTTTATATGCAAATGAATGAATTTGCTGTACGCACTATGTTTTTTACAGTTCATTAACAATCATCCAATTGAAATTCGAAAGTTCAGATCGAAAGGTAAAGTAACAAATTTCCTTGGTAGTTTCCAAAGAATAATAAGCAATAGAAGCTTAAACCCAGAAATAATAACTATTATAATTCATATGTAAGAGTTTGAACCATCCCATTGTTGTTATCGTTGCTAAGGTCTGTAATTGACTTTATATATATACGTTGTGACTGACTGAATAATCATTCGTTTACAATCTCTGTGATATGTAAAAGAATATATATATATATATATATATATATATATATATATCCCAAAAGAACTGCCTGAAAATTCGCATCCATCACAAGTATTGTTAGGCAGGGTTATGTACTTGCTAGCAGTGGAATTCAGGACGCCCTTATCGTCCTATTTGGGACTTCGGTTGAGTGCACCTGCTCCCCAGTGTTGATGTTCATTCGAAGCGGATTCAACTGCTGGCGGTTATCCAAATCTCAATAAAAAAAATAGTAATAATAACAAAAACTATATATAAATTATAATAACGGTCCGTTTTCCTTGTTTACACGAATGGGACGTTAATTTACCTTAGATGAATATCTACACTAGATTCCCTCCCAGTGTCTACTCTACAGGACTTCAACACAACTCAGATCAAGAATACGTGATTAGCCTGACAAGAACGTAAATATGTTTCCACACCAAACCCACACAATCCAACAACAAATGGACGATCAATAAATAATAATAAGGACAGGAGAATATACGACTCATCTGACACCTGTCACATTATCTACTAATTTGACTAAGCAGAACAACCAATCATTATCATTATTGCCCACACATCATATATATACTGTCCGGTAATGTAAAGGCTTCCACCTTTTCCAGAGCTTCACCATCAAGTGGGTTTTGGTTGATCTTTTCTGTGTTATATCTTGAGATCATTCCTTTTCCTTTGGGAATTTTAAGAATTACTGCCATAGAGGCTGTTGATACACTGTCTGTCTTCATCTGCACTTCTTGGTGTGTATGAGATGGGAGAGCTAGGTCGTTTGCGAAGTCCAAATTTTGTAGCTACATCCAAGCTGTGCGTTGTATTCTGTGCTTCCCCTGAGATGTGGATGTATTCATAATTTAGTTAACCATCACAAGAAAGAGAAAAGAAGAGAGTAAACAGTCTTTTCTGACAACAGTCCTCACTTGAAAGGCATCTTTAGCTTCAGTTTTATATTATCCACCACTAGGTGGTGATAAGAAGCTATATCAGCTTTTTTCTTTGTTCTTACATCTTTCATTACCTCCTGCATTTTTTAATTGATGAAGATGTGACCTATCTGGTTCTCTATAGCGTGGCCAGGTGATACTCAAGTAGATATATGCATTCGTTTGTTAGGTTGTTTGCCACCTCCTATAACCATTCTGTTGAAAGCACTTAGATTTGCGAATCTCTCACGATTCTTGTTCCTTTCTCCCACTCCATCTCATCCTATGATATCTTTATACCCAGTGTTATCCATCTTATCCTTAGCATTCAGGCCCCACATCAGAATAGTCAGGTTTTTTCCTCCCATTTTTCTACGATGTACTGGAGCCTCTCATAAAACTGATGTTCATTCTCTCCACTGCTATTATTGGCATGGGTTTAGCACTAGATGTCATCTATTGTAATCCCATCATTCTGTATCTTGAGGGACATTTTGATGATCTTGGAGCACTTTTTCCTTGTG